AGATGAACAACATTTACGTACTATTAAAAAAAGAGACAATCAAAAAGCTAAAAAGACCTCCTCACCAGGAATCAACACCCAGATAAGCAGGGATTAACATCAGGATTAATACCAGACCAAGAGTAAACAGTACCCAAACAAGAAATAACCCACTCAGACAAACAATAAACAACAGCCTAATCAAGTATCTACGAAAAAACAACATTCCCACCAACACTAACAACACTTGCCCAGCTATAGAAACCAAACCCCATTCCCTTCTAGCACTGATGATGTTACCTAGTTGGATAATGAAACATCTGCAAGAAAACAACCAAGCTCAGAGAGCACCAAGGATTGTGCAACTCAACCTTTAGCTATAAATGTTCTCTTCTACTGGCACTAATATTAATAGTCAAGCAATCTACAATAAGATTTGTGCACTGTATCTGAATGAGACCCATTGCTCTTTCTGGTGATCTACAGAAGCATCTTTTTGGAGACAGGCCTTCAGACAGATTATTTTGCGCCTTGTAAAGTAAAAGTCTGGTTCAGTGTTTAGCAACCTAATGTCATCTTCGGATTTAAAAAAAATCTGTTTAGAAACAAATTGGAGATTAAGATATGTATGGGCAATTTTAGAAGATAGAAGACAGTATATTTAAAAAGACTATGCACTCATGCAGTTTCATAGCTGGCTCAGAAAGATCTAGCTGGAGGTATTATTTAGGTACTTTTTATGTACCATATTAGTTATGGTAGGTTGCAGTTTCTAAAATTTCCCCTACAATACCGTGCATTTTTATCTTGGCAGTTTTATTATAGATTGCATTTTCCCAATGATTCAAGGAGATTGCATGCATGAAGAGCAGCTGTCATAAGGAAGGTTTCCCATCCACACCCCCAAATGTTGGAAACCACAGCTGTTTTAAAAATGACTATGATTGATAAAAGTCTTCTAAAGAAAGTTTTTGTTTGTTTGTTTACTAATTTTTTTTTTAAGGAACTAATTCTGTTCCTTGAAATTATGCTAAAATAATCACTTTCCTGGGCAATCTGTATTTCACTGCTCTCTGCACTTGGCTGAGTCTGTTAGTTTTATGCTTCATTTTCTTTCTTCACAAATGTCTTCTTTCTTTCCCCCAGTCACATGTGCTCCTCTTTTCATTTTGCTTCTCTGATGCTTATCTTCAATTTGATATTTCTTCTTCCATTTCTGACTAATGTTGCTCTCGCGCAATCTTTTCCTTAGATGTAGCTGTTTATTCTTTATGTTTCTCTCCAGGCTCTCTCTTCATGAGCCAAATGTACTTCAACTTGGCTGCTATTTAATTCCCTATTGTCCCTTTTTTCCCAGACTTATTTTTTAATGTCTTACCTCTCTATTTACTATTGTAGCCCTCGCGTGCATAAATGTTCTTTACAAAAGCGTAGCCATCTGAACCTGTTAAATATTTTTGTCAGTATTTATTAAAGGTTTTGTATTTGTGAGCAAGCTTCTTCAAAAGACTTTTATTGAACAATCATCCTGTCTCATTCACAGAATTTTTATAAAAACTCAATATGGCACTGTGATCCATTTATAATTTGATTTTATTCTCTTATTAAAGAGAAAGGAAAGCAAAACTGTAATACAGTTCATTAGTGTCAACCACTGCTACTCTTACCTATTTAAAAAGAAAACTCCTTTGGAAACAGTGGATCAAAGGGACCCTTCAAATGTATGAAAAGGAAATGGGAGTTCAGAATGGGCAGTTCTGCATTTCTCTAGCTGCGTTTCTAGAGTAGGAAAATAATAGGGACTTACTTTTTCATAATTTTATCAGAAATAAGGCTGCAACTTTCCCTTTCCTGGTGAAATGCTCTTCAAAAAGAATTCTAAACATGTTCCTCAGAAAAAAAATAAGATGCCAAACTGATAAGGAAAACTTACTTCAAAATACTGTATGAAGAAAAAATTATGTATGGAATCCTTAAGTAGGACAAGTGGAGAGGCAAGTACTATTCACTCAGCTATGTTGCATCATTGTAGAAGCAGAAGCTGCAGTGGCAGAAAAATAGCATTATTCCTCTTGAAGTATGGATAGTCAAAGGGATTTTTTTTTCAGGAGTAGAAGTCCTTTGCCTTGCTGCTTCATGAATTATTTCCCTTCCCCATTCCTGCAACAAAACCAAAACTTGTTCATGAGCAAAAATGAACTCATTGAAGACTTTCAGTATTTCTGGAGAGAACTAGAAAAGAGCTCCAACAATTAGATTTCACTAGGTTTTTTTAAAATTTGTGCTTTTTACTTACTAAAATGCTAATGCTTACAAGGTTTCAAATCTAAGGAGTCAGATCGAGGCATTCGGTGAGGAAAATATTGGCATTGGATATGTTTGTATGTTCAAGAACATGTAATTTGAAAGAGTTTTATGAACTTTCATTCTGCCTTCACGTCTAACCCTAATTAATATGAAGCATAATCTAATCAACTCTTCTGTGTCTTATTCTCATACTACCCAGTATATTGCATGTGCTTAACATAGTCACTTTCTTGGACCAGACAGAATCTAAGGTGGTTCTTTTCTGAAAGTTTGTTACGGAAAGTTATGGTTCAAATCCTAATAAGACTGTGGGTCCAGCATATCCTGTCATAAAGTATATTTTTGATATCAGAATACAGTAAACCTCAGAGAATAGGAAATGCGGAAAGAGTTATACACTGGCCACCAAATCAAGGAATTGAGAATGGTAAGGTAGCATTTCATATGAGTATTTCGAGATCAGCTTTCTGCTAAAAGGAGTTAGGTTTAATTTTAAAATCTCTTCCAAGTCTTTTATAGACTTGTACTTTGATGTTTCTGTTATATGCCTATGACTTAGCAAGCATTTGAAACAAGAACATTTTTCGGGTAGTATCCAGGAATACCCTGGGATTGTTCTATGTGCAGGTTCTCATCACTTGAAAGCAGAATTGTTTCCACTTGAATGTTTGTTGTATTTGTGTTGCTGCGTCAAATTTATATACACTTGGAGAAAACAAAAGAAGTCATCTAATCCAGTGCAGTCTGCACTAATCTTCTCATTTACAGTATTTTATACTGTGTAAAACAGCACACAATTTTTTTTTGTTTTAGTAATTTCATCTATGTACAGAATTGCAGTTCTCTACACTAACCTCACTTACTTTCACCCAGGGAAAATAAGGTAATTTCATAGAACTTCAAATACCTTTGTCCAATGTTTTATTATATTTTTCTTTCTTTTTCTTCTTTTTTTTGAGCAGACAAAAAAAACAACATTTTCTTAGTTTCTGAAGCAAAGATGCAGGAGAGGGGTAGCTGCTTCTACATCTATATAATGTTATGAATAAGAAGGACAGCTTTTGGAAGAAATTGCTTCAGTTTTATGGTTTCTTGTACCAACATTTTTAACACTTTCACCCTTAGTCTAATATGGTGCTATTGGTCAAAGCTTACTGTATCATTCTGCTTGCTCCCCCTAAATATCTTCAGCAGCCTCTTAACAATTTTGCAGTGTTAAATTTTTAAATCCTGCTTCTTCATATCCTCAGTTCTATTAATGTTTAGCATTAAACTTTAATCAATCATACATGGTTTAATTTTTTTTTATAAAAAAGTAACAACCGTAATTTAGGATGCTAATAAGAAATAGAAAAAATGGAACTTCTTGCCTTCTTTCACAGCTATAAATCACTTTGGGACAAATATCACAAATGGCAAAGTTTGTAGGTGTCTTTCTTCTCTTTTCTTCCCTTAGAATAATTATTCTAGAATTTACCTTGGCAAAGCTAGACATTGATCAAATACTGGAAAATTTCAGTTAAATTCTGTGAAAAATTTAAGAAAAATTAATCTCAACTGATTCCCAGTGATCTCACTGGAACATCTGGCTAAGTGTTGTAATATCATAATTGCTATTCTAAATTATTATTAATACACAGTAAAACTGCTTTGATAATGTGTTGAGCAACATAAAATAATAACAATTGCACATATCATAACTATTGAGCAAATGTTTACTATATAATTTTAACATGTACCTCCTGAGATCAATGTAGAAGCTGGATCATTCAGAGCCAGACTAATCTCTTGGGTGTGTATTAGATATTATTTCCTTGCAGTACTAAATATTGTATCCTAGTTATGAAAGCTTATTATTTTATGATTGGTTTTAACTTGTGATAGAAGATGGATGTATTTTCCTTTAAAGTTGGCATTAGCTTCTTGGTTCTTAATTTCTAGTCAGACAATCAGACCTATTTGTCTGATAGGTGACAGATGATAAATACAGTACATAAATATTAGAAAACAAGTATTGACTGGGGAGAGATAACATGCATCCCTGATGGTTGTATTTATGTGTGTGATCTTGCCCCAAATAAACTGTAGATTATTTTTAGGTTTGGAAAAAAATTAAGACTTTACTTCATCCTAGTTGTTATTCATTCTGCTGCCCTGTTACTATTATCACTAATTTAGACTTGCCTAAGTATTATATTGTTTTGGAAGTTTAAGTACTTTTAGATGCCTCTACGTACACATAGATTGCTTTATAAGAGTAGAATACAGAAAAGGCAAAAGGAAGTATGGCAGCACATATTATATATTCACAAGATCCAAACAACATTGGATCCATTCTAGAACCCCAAACCATGATACAAACTCTTTGCATAGTCCCACTATAAAGCAGTGCTATGAAACAGAAGCACTGTCTCATTCAGTGGGTAGTGTTAGAGGTATGAATATATGCACACAGTTCATGCTGTTTTCTTCTATAGTTTCCCTTTTAAATTTATAAAAGAAGCATCTGATACCGCTCTCTACTAAGCAAAGTCTATGACATAATAATATGCAGAGCCATTTGTTGTAACCAAGTGCATTTTTTTCTCCCAAGAGGCTTGTAAGAGAGGTGAAGCCTTCAAGATTTATTGTGTATTCGTTGATTTATCTAGTATCCATTGATTTTTCTTTTTTTCTCTCTCCTTCCTGATTTCTGATATTCCTGGCTTCTCCAGGTTTCAAAGGTCAATGGTATCACTCGAATGTCAACTCTGAGTGCAAATACAGCCAGTGCCAAAAAGATGAGAGACGTCAGACCTTCACCGTCCAAAACTGTGAAGTACACTGCAACAGTGACTAAGGGAACTGTCACATACACCAAAGCCAAGAAAGAACTGGTCAAGGAAACCAAACTAAATCACCACAAACTCAGTACACCTGTCAACCACACAATCTCAGGGAAAATGGAAAGTAGCAATGCAAAAACCCGTAAACAGGTGCTATCCCTTGGAGTGGCCAAGCCCAACAATACAGCTATTAATGGTGTCAAGGTCAATGGCAAGTTGAACCAAAAGTCATGCACTAAGGAGGTAGGGAGGCAGTTGAGGGAAGGGCTGCGCAATTCAAAAAGGAGGCTGGAAGAAGCAAACCATATAGACAAAATACAGTCACCCGTCAAGAAAGTGAAGGGGGCCACAAACGTGACTGAAACCCCAAGCAAAAAAGCACCATCTGTGGAAAGACCTTTGCTGAATGGCCATGTGAAAAAGCCTGGAAGTCAGGAGGTGCCACAGAAAAGTCTGGAAAGGAATAGGCCGAAAAGAGCTGCTGCTGGGAAGAACACGCCAGGGAAACAAGCACATAGCAAAACAGAAAATGCCTCCTGTGAACATTATTCTACCTCTCAAACAGAGTCCTTGCACAAGCCACACGACTCAACAGGGAAGCACGAGAAAGGTAGCATCAAGTCTGGGTGGGCCATGATGGAAGAGATTCCTATTCTCAGGCCTTCCCCCAAGGAGTTCCATGACCCATTGATATACATTGAGTCAATCCGTGCTCAGGTTGAGAAGTATGGGATGTGCCGGGTGATCCCTCCTCCTGACTGGAGGCCTGAGTGCAAGCTGAATGAAGAGATGCGGTTTGTGACCCAGATCCAGCACATTCACAAACTCAGCAGGCGCTGGGGGCCCAATGTGCAGCGTCTGGCCTGTATCAAGAAGCACCTCAAATCTCAGGGCATTACTATGGATGAGCTTCCACTCATAGGTGAGTCCCTTATTCACACAGGCTTTTTGTTGGTCTTTGTGGCAAGAAATCATTTTGAGTGCTGATTTATTTTCAGATTAATCCTCAGCAAACACAAAGCTCTGATAGAGGGTAAGCAATAGATTTCCATGCCATTTCTTACAGAGCAGTCCTCTTCAAAGCAAACATACTCAGATTTCAAAAGTATCTTATTTTATGCCGTGAGAAGAGATAGTGATCAGACACATATGTAATAAGATAGCCCTCATCTACTCTACATTTGGATTTTAGGGGGTTCCCAGGGAAGCTATGTGGATCAAGAGCATATAATTACTCCCCTCATCCCCATATTTAACTTTTCTCCTCATGAAAAAATATGGAAAGGACAGAGATGAGGGAAAGATAGGTGAGTGGGAGGAGTTGGAGCATTCACGTGACCCTGGGAATGCTGCAACTTTGGGGACCACTCGCAAGTCCATTTTTTTTCTAGCACCATCATAACTTCAAACAGTTGCTGAATGAATGGTCATAAGTCAAGGACTACCTGTAAGCTTTAAACAGATAGGCTGACAAAGTATAATTAGTACACTCAAGTTTCAGGATTTCATCCAATGTGCTACTTTTATTTTTAAGAATATGTTGATTTTGGGAGTACAAAAGAAAATAGTGAGCACAGGCTTTCTTTTTCAGGGAATACGAAGTAAATGTTTAAATTAATGATAATAAATTTAATGGTAATAAATTATAATTAGGAGCTTTTGAATTAAGTATAATTGAAGCACCTTTATAATTAGATAGTATATTTTTTAAAAGACAGTATTTTTTGTGAGATGTGCTCTTAGTAAACATAATCAATACTGTCATTCATTAAGAGACAGCAGATAGTTACCATTTTAAGTGTTTAGTTAATAGAATTTATTGGGCTTCTGTTAAACCTGCTCATGTGTGTTCTTAGCATTACTGACTTTGTTCAGGTGAACTTTGAATCTGGAGAAGGCCACAGTTTTGAGCTATTGAGAATTTTGAGGTGTGCCGTGGCTACCACAGGAAGGCTTGTCCAATTGTTAACTGGCTACTCTAATGGAGGTGGCCAGTTAGGAAACCAAAGTACTGGTGTGGAGACCACTGGTTGGAGACAAGCACTTTGCTTTGCGGACTGCCAGCTTCCCAGTTTGTTTCTGTATACAGAATCTAAAAAGGAATAAAAAGAATCTAAAAAGGAGTGGATCAGGGAGCTTGCGTGCAGCAAGGTAGACAGAACAAATAGGTCATACAGCCAGCTCATTCCCTTCTTCAGCTCTTTCAATTTAGCATGATTATAATGAGCTGGCATGAACCTTGGATGCTTGTACATTCCCCCTCTCTTTGGGTACAGTTGTGGAAAGGAAGATAGAAACGGTTGATTCCATCCTAAATTCACTGCGTGTTACCACACTTTGTGATTTATTTACTAGTGTTTGTTAAAACAGGTCAAAACAGTCCAATTTTTGACACTGGCTCGTTTCTTCATATATCAGATGATAACATGATGTTGGATGATTTCCCCGTACCATGATACAGTGTTGTTTACTACAGTCATTTGAATGGAAACTTCAACTGCAAGAGAAGCCTTTGTTTTGCAGCCTTGCTAGAGAAGGGAAGTTGATGTGTAAACCTGAGACGGGCCCACAGGTCCTCTAAGGCAGGGGGTTCTTAAACTGGGCAAATTTGTGCATATCCTGGGGGTGATGGAGCAATTTGTAATTGCTTGTTTGTGAGTTGAGGATCCAGTTGTGGGTCTGCCACGACGTTTGGGTCAAAGAGCAGATTTGGGAGTTTTGTGGGAATAATGACACCAGCATTTAAGAAAATATCAAAGCCTAGAGAAGGAACCGCCAGTCATTTCTGATACAGTGGTACCTCAGTATTTGACTGCTTCAGAACTCGTCAAATTTGGTACCTGGCACATTTTGACATCAAAATATTGTCCCGGTGCTCATCTTTGTTTGGTACTTGACACACTGCAAAAGGAAGTGGGGGACAGCTGCAGAGGACAGGACAGGAGGCCGGCCATGTTGAGAAGCTCGCTGCAAAAGGAAGCGGGAGACAGCGCAAAGGGTAGACAGGAAGTCGGCCAAGCTGGGAAGTTGCTGACATAGGAAAAGGAACTGATAGGAAGTTCTTTCCAGCTGAAACAAAGGGGCCAAGTGGTAAGTCACATGGTTTGTTTGCTACTCATCCTTTTTAGTATTCGTCATGCCTCTCAGAGCCAATTAAGCATGAGCACCGAGGTACCACTGTATTATACTGTTACAGCAGTGTTGGGAACATGTCTTCCTGAGAATCAGACTGGTAAACTGCTGTTTGGCATTAAATCTGAACCCAGTTATATCTGAATTGTGTTAGTTCTTTTCTTCCACAGACTGATTTCTTTAAAAAAAAAAAAAAGCTGTACTTGGAATAAAATTTAATTCTTTTTTATTTGTATATAACATAGGTATTATAAAAGGATGCAAAGTAAATTTGCTTTATCCAAATGCTTCCCTATCTTTTTTGGCCTGAGGACAAAAAGGTATATTGTTCTCATTAAGGCTATTGATTAGATTGCAATAGAGATTTTTCCTGCGGAGTTCTTCAGTTTTTTGAAAAAGTCCTATTTTTCATTAAAAATTATTAACCAAAGTGTTAGTTCTATTAAAAGAAGCTTGAATCTTAAATAATTGCCAAAGGAAAAAAGTGTCAAGGCAATATGTTTTGAGAAAATGAATAGGCTACTATGAAAACAAACACTGTAATATCTATCTTAATGCAGAATATTGTTGAGCTCCCATTGAAATGGCTAAAGAACAAGTTTTTATATTAATAGTCTTGCTTCTTTGAATTCAAATGACTTTTTTATTCAGGATCTATTGAAATTAGTGTCCTGTTAGTATTAAAAATCTGGAATATTTTCAGAACTAGTCCTGTAAATTTTCTTCGTATTAATTCTTAATATATGTTGTTAATTTTAACAGGAACTGTTAATATTTTGACAAAAAATCACATTTGGCTCTCATTTTTTCATGTATTGTGTGTCCTTAACAAAGTGCAAAGAAGTGAAAAACATCTTCCCCCAAACAGATTTTGAATCATCCCAGATTCTTCCAAGTATTATGTGTCCTAAACAGAGATCGGAATAAATATATTACCCTCTCATTTTGTTAAAGAACACACACACACATATATATATATGATTTGTAGCGACACCAAATATAATTCTGCAAATATTATATTTTATTGATCTGAGGACAGTATTCTTGATAGTTTTTTTATATCATATGTATCTTGGGTACAATTCTGTACATCTCAAAAGTTTGTTTTCCTGGTATATGATTAAAACAGGTTGTATTGATGAGAGTATTCCCTTAATTACACACATACACACACACACACACACACACACACACACGTATAAAAAGCTGTTATGAGAAGCTGCAGAAATAACTAGGCCCTTTAGGAGGAAAAAAGTAAAGGCCAAAGTGGTTCCAGTGACGGTAGGGACACTTAGATCTGTGACTTCTAAGCTAGGAGAGTGCCTCAGACAGATCCCGGAAACAACATCCGAGTTTTTCATCCAAAAGAGAGCAATGTTAGATACTGCACAGAAACTTCAAATTCCCAGGCCTCTGGTAGAGGACATGATATTGAGGAAGACACACCACCCATAGGAGTAAGAAGGGATTTATATATATATATATTTATATATATATACCAATAAATAACAAAAAGTGAACACCAGGGAAATTTAAAATCATTAAAAGTTTTAATAACATATATGTATATGTTATTGGCTGGGGATGTCATGCTTGTTATTACATGTGTATAAGTATTGGTCTGGATGTACTTCATTTTATATACATTATCTGTTATTGACATGTGGGTATCATGTTTGATAGTCTTTATTAAAATGTCATACGAGATAGAGTTACTAGGAATGAATAAGGTAGGAGTGCATCTTGTTCGGTCCCTCTTCCTTAGCTCCTTCGATTAAACAAATCAAATGGAAAGCTGGCTTTTTAAGAATTAATGCATGAACCAAGAATTCTGGCTTGCTCTTCTTAATAAAACAATTATCAGAAATTATTATTTGCTCATGACTTTGGCTTATTCAGCCTTCAGCCTTCTGGTTCACACATATTCCAGACAAAACCATGTATTGATCTCTCAAGGTTTGTTTAGCCATGCCTGGTTGGAGTGATCCAACAGTTTGTCTTTCTTTATTAACATTGCTACTTGTGTCGTGTGAACTCAGCTAGTATATTTTGCACCATCGGCAGACATTTATTTGCACACGGTCCCTCTTCTTAAAGCTCAGAATCTGACTTCACTGAGTGAAATCACCAAAGTGTGCTTATGTTTATATTGAAAACATGAGCTACAGTATACATTTCACTTGGTCTTGGCATAGTGGTTAACGGTAACCACCAAACTAAATTGGACTGAGTCTGTATGACAAAGTAAAAACACTAATTCGGCTGCTCACATTTACAGCAGAATTTTATGTAATAACTCTGCCTTCTAAGCTTTTGTAGCAATGGAAAGAAAAGTGCTATTTCAATGTAAATTGATGGACACAAAGGGGACAAAGACTTTGTTGCCTTGTTGCACTGAGCTGTACCTTGTTTAACTGTAGTTTGTGGAATAAAAACCATTGGCTATATTCAAAAGTACCGATTAATAATTAAACAAAGCATATTTTGGTATGGTGACATGCAAACACAAGCAGAGAGAAAGAGGTACATTCCTGTTTGACGCAGATTTCCATTCTCCGTACGGTAGATTTCTACAGCAGCGGATAGGGAAGTTAAAAATGGAAAAAACAATAATAGATTCATGAAGTAATCATAGTAATTGGGGGTGGGAAATGTTTTTATTTATTTCTGTTTGTTTTGTTTCACTTAAAAAACTAGCAAAGAAATAATACCTAATTAGCACGCTGGCCATATAATTCTGCCTAGGCTGCAACGTTTTTTTAATTGCCCATAAAAAAACAAGCAAAGGAAAGGCTAGACTATAATCCTTCTCCTTAGCCTCTAGTTTTCACAGAGAGGTTTTGCGTTTAAGTAAAAAGTTACTTTCATCTCCAACTAAATTGATACTCTCCAGACATATTCGTAAAAATCAGGGCCTGAATGAATGTGGTCTGTGTTCAATTTCCTTAACAAATTTCTGTGTTTTCCCCCCCTTTTTTTTCCCCCTTCCTGCTTTTCTGCTGCATTGACCTCCAGGAGGCTGTGAGCTGGATTTGGCCTGCTTTTTCCAGTTGATCAATGAAATGGGGGGCATGCAGCAGGTGACTGACCTCAAGAAATGGAATAAGCTGGCAGATATGCTGCGTATCCCCAAAACTGCACAGGACAGGTTAGCAAAACTGCAGGAAGCCTATTGCCAGTATCTACTCTCCTATGATTCCCTCTCTGCTGAGGAGCACAAGAGACTGGAAAAAGAAGTCCTCCTTGAAAAGGAGATTCTAGAAAAGCGGAGGGGTCCTTTGGAAGGACATTCAGATAGCAACTATGAATTCCAGTCTCTGCCCCGCTACGAGCCCAAAAACGGACTCATCAATGGCGTTGTTCATAAAAATGGCTTCCGGAACAAAGCAAAAGAAGTTGAGATCCCTCAAAAAACAGGTAGGCGGCGACTCTTCTCTCAGGAAAAGGAGACCACAGTGGAAGAAGAAGAAGAGGTTGGTGTTCTTTGTGACCTCCACAAGTGTATATACAAGGTCAGTAGAAATCTTGCCGGGGTCTTGGCTAGAAAGCACATCTAAAATGCACATAGTATTTTTCACTCGCTCTGCCAGCTCTGATTTAGTTCAAACAGTGGTTTGGAATGCTTATTTTGCTTGTCGCTGAGCTCATCCATTTGCAAAGGAATGTTGACTCCTCCACTCAATTTGATTTGGCAGCCTTCCCACTGTATTAAGCATCTGGCACCACCACATGCTGTGTAATTGTTAGCAAGATTGGATTGAGTGTGTTGAAATGCTAAGGGAGGACGAGATACATTGCTTTTTTTATGTTGGTACTTGTGTCCAGCGCTTACTGCTTTTCCATCACTGCTCTTTATCCCATCGCTATGAACTGATAATTAGGTGCTGCTTGGAAGACTGCACAGACACAAGTCAGTGGTTTTATTTGAAGTAATCACCATTTTCAGGAACTGAGATCTGTAGAGATAGACTCCCACACTAAATATTGTTTAGGTTTCTGTTAGCCAGATTCATATCTTTGTTCTTTTCCCACAAGGATCCAGGCAGTGTGAGATTAATACCCTTTTACCTTGCCTTCTCTGTCATTATGAAAGAGGTGTGAGACCCTGTCCTATCTTATGTGTTAGTTAGGGAATAGATAAAATTGGCTTTTCTATATCCATTTAACATGTACAGATCCTTTTAATCGGTTGCCAAAGAGCATATAGATTGGGAATTCTGGTCCAAACACATCTCACATCCATTTGGTTGGGGTGATGCTCTACAGAATGAGTTTAATCATCTTGGTGAATATATTTACATACCTATTGTTGTCTCAGATGAGGATTTTCTCATTTAGATTTTGATAGCTGAGTATTATCCTTAAAAGTGTCTGGGTTCTTAGGAGAATCTGTCCCCTTGTCTTCAGATAATTCATGATTTACTTTTAACTCCAAATAGCAGATTAAAATACATATTATATGACCACTTCAAACTCATCTATTTTGTTTGGTTGTATAGTTGCAATATGTTGGCCTACAAAGCATATAGACCTGGCTTGTCTTATCAATATCTTCCTTAATTTTAGCACAGATGTAGGCTGTGTTGTTGGGGGCTATACTGCCATCTGCAATTCTCCCTGTGACAAGTAATCCTATTTCCATAACAATAGTTGGTATGGTTTGCGGCTGAATACATTTTAAGAGCCCTATCACCCAACCAAAGCTTAAAACTACGGTATCTATTACAGGGTCATCATCTTCTCATATTTATATAGCACAATAAACATGTATTGGAATGTTGTAAGATTAAATTTGAGTTTTAGACAATGCTTGTTTCTAGGGCAACCATGGAAAAAGCTTTGAGCAGCTATTCCCATCTTTTCCTCTTTGTCCAAAAAACAAACAAACAAACAACAACCCAGGACTAGTCTACATATGAAGACAGCATCATCCAGATCCCCTGAAAATTGACTATACCAGCATAAGGACAACGTTAAGATCTCATCTGGAAGCAACCTAGTGAACAAAATAGAAAAAAGATCCCACTGACTATATATAATGAACAGCATTCTTGGCGTTAGAGGTTCAAATCTTGGGAGCCATGGTCACGTTTGATAATTGTAGAGCATATAATTGGACTCATAGAATATGGCCACTATAGAAGGCATCCCCATTCATAAAATGATTACCATAGTAACCATGCTCAAAGAACACTCGCATATTGGAAAGTAAACTGGTAGAATTACTTTTCCCCATTTTTTCTAATTTCTATATACTCTGTTAGCTCCTACATTGCCTTTGTCTTATTTTGATATTATGCATATTTACAAACCAAGCATTAATTAGCCTGTAGTCAAAATGGACATTCTTAGAAAAGAATGTCCATTTTATCTATCTGGAATCTAGGAGTATTTTGGGAAATAATGACACTAAAAACTGATGCTTTTCTTTGCATGCCAGTTTTCTTTTAATTTTGTTTTAGTTTGTAAAGATTGCTTAAAACTTAAAGGTTATTTCAGAAGGGGACTAGCATGTACTATGTTTAGGTTCCCGGTTTTATGCTACTTGCACATATTGATTAAACTTGGCCTTTTTAGTTTGTGAGACCTCCTTCTGCCTGCTAACCTGTGTTTGTTTCCTTTGAGATGTTTTCTTTATTGATTTCTTTTCCATAATATTACATTTGAATCATGTCCAATTTGACAGCTGGCTATATTAGCTTTGTTACAATGTCTACAACTTTCTTTTTTGACCTTGGTTACCAGAACCAAGTGAACTAAGTATAATTCTAATAATAATGACTGGGTCTTTTTGCACATTTACCTTAAAGTAAGCCTCATTTAATATGTAAATAATTTTTTTTTAGTATTGTTTCTTGAAATAGCTTTTCATAGCTAAATACCTGTGAAAAGAGAATGCCAGGCAAAGGGGTATTCATTCTAATATGTACCTGCATGGCTATTTCAATACTTTTCTTAAAGGCATTGCTTTCCTGCAATTTATGTAAGTAAAGGTGCACTTAATCTATCTCAAATAGAAAAAAATGGGTATTTGGAAAAAAAACATGATTACAGTTATATGTATAATACCAAAGAGTCCGGCTCTGCAAACCTGGTCAGTTAGAAATTAAATTCTGTTTTAGTGCTCCATGCATTGACCTCAAGAACTTCAACCATTCCTCACTGTGCATCAAAATATAGTTTCTGCTGAAATGACCCAGTGCTTGCAAAGTAGGATTTAGAAACACAGATGAAATCATGAATAATTATGGTTTGCTGGGCAAGCACAAGCCATAGTTTCAGTTTTAGCCAGGAAATCTAGCTTATGAGCTCTGTCATTCTTAAAGCCAAATTCACATAGCATTTAAAATCCAGGAACTGTGAGCAGAAATGATCAGAGGGATTTGAGTTTTGTTTTTTGTCCAAGAAATCCTTTCCATATCTATACAAATGTTTTGAGAGAGAACCCAGAGGAAAAGGCAATATTTTCACATACGCTATATATTTTTCTATTTAAAATCAAATTGACATTGTATGAGTATAAATTTTAGGCAAAATTGGAATTTAAGAAGGGCAAGAGAAAGCTTTCATTGGAGATTTCTTTATGATGAATGAAAAAGATAAGGACATCTGTTGTAAGGACTTCTGATATTTGTCATCTCTCCCTAAAGTTTACCAATTGTTAAAAATAGTTTCTGCTTTCAATTGCTTGGCAAAAATTGACAAACAAGTACTCAAAATCTTTTGGTATTAGTTTTACAGCCTTGGCAAGCCCCAAATTACAGACACAGATTTGATAGCTGAGAAATAGTGCTTTGAATGCTGTTTATTATTACATTGGCCCAATAAATATTTCACACAATTGTTCCTTTTATTTACCAACATTAAAATCTGAGCTTTAAAGATTTCATAGCCTCTTTTCCTGTAATGGACACTTTTAACATTTTATCTTTCTTTTTCTTCTCTTTTTTTTTCTTTCTTTTTTTTTAGATAAGTGCTCCAAGCTAGATTTTGGCTAGGAAAAATATTTTGAGCAGTGTTATCACTCTGCATGTATATCCTAGCTGAGAAGTAGCCCTGCAAAGTAGTTTGAAGATTAGAAGCTCAGCATTTTTCCAGTAAAACTTGAGTTGTGGTTGCAAAATCTGCCAACATTGACTAGTGCTGTCCTTGGAGTTACCAGGGAGTGTTGCAGATGGCATGAATTGCTGTTGCTGAGACTAGTTCCCCCCCACACACACACACTTTATCTTGTAAAAAAAAACAGTAGTTAAAAGTTCACACTGATTAAAATCATTATGGGGTTGGTATGAGTGAGCCCATTTAGTAATGACAGTGAAATCTGGAAAATTGCAGTTTGAAACTGTAAGAAAAATATATGGTAAAGACCCTGAAATGCCAAATGAAAAAAAAATAGGTATGTTGTTTGTGTGAAAATGGTAAAATGTAATAAATGTGGATGAAGACAGGATAGTTTAATTTTGTGGAATTGACAAATATATGCAGAGAAGTGAAGGTTTGGATTTAATTATGAATGAAAACGTGTGTTCAGCAGTATGAATTGGCATCATCTTGGTTGTTATAAGTGAAAATAGCAACATGTAGGTTGTTGCTAGTTGCTTGTTATGCTCCATGCATGGTGAACCAATGAAGAGGGCAGGGCAAAATTATTCAATTTTCTGGATCTAGAAAAAACATCCTGGATGATACGAATGAATGTGTGGATATAAGATGAGAGAGAGTACAGAAAATATAGGCTCTTCAGAGACTCAGGAATAAATGAGAAAGATAACTGGAAAATATCCGTTTGGAAAACACGTTTATTTTTTAAAACTATGGTTTTATATATGACTGCTAATATCTACACATTTATTTATTTATTTATTGCATTTATATCCCGCCCTTCTCCTTACGGACTCAGGGCGGCTGACAATTGAATAAAATACTAACATATATACATATACTTAATTAAAATTTGATTAAAACGAAATATTTAAATATGTCCAATTTAAAAGTAATTAAAACCCTCTTTAAAATCCCTCAGGCCAGTCCCGCTAGTTGGAACAGCCACGTCTTGAGGGCGCGGCGGAAGGAAGGGAGATCAGGGATCACCCTGATCTCTGGGGCCAGTTCGTTCCAGAGGGTGGGGGCTCCCACAGAGAAGGCCCTCCCCCTTGGGGTCGCCAGCCGGCACTGTCTGGCTGACGGCACCCTGAGGAGACCCACTCTGTGAGAGCGTACAGGTCGGTGGGGGGTAATCTGTGGCAGGAGGCGGTCTCGAAGGTAACCAGGTCCGATGCCATGGCAGGGAAATTAGCATAAATCAAATATTTGGTTGGTTATGATAGTAATAGTAATATCCCATAAAACAATAAAATGACTGTACAATATATTACGTTATAAAAATCATGATGCCGAATCTAGTCACTGACAAAATAAGGCTTAAATTCATGTGGAAGAATTCTGTCTTCTCGGTCTTCTTGAACCTTGCTAGGGTCAGTATTTATTTTATTTATTTATTATTCGAATTTAT